TCTCTCTCTCTCTCTCTCTCTCTCTCTCTCTCTCTCTCTCTCTCTCTCTCTCTCTCTCTCTCTCTCTCTCTCTGCGTGGCGCAGCCAGCCTCACCTTGCTGCCAAAAATAAGGTGCGCAAAATCGAATGAATCTTCTGCTAAAAGGCGGGTAGGCACATCCCTGAATCTGCCCCGAGCGTCCGGGCTAATACACGTCCCACACCGCTATCCCCATCAACTCCCTGTGCAGCTATTTCTCTCAATAACTTTCTATCTACTAACTCTTCAACCGAACTAACTGTACGATCGKGTTCGCAAGCCCCSAAAACCCCAAACTTGAGTCCTCCCTTGCCCGTTTTCATCCACGAACGAGTACAGAACACTTGTTTCCTTTTCTTCTACCTCTGACACTCCGCTATGCCCCGACAATTTTTTTATTTTTTTTTTTCACGCGGCATCTTTTCCTCCTACCTCCTAACTAACTACCTCTTTGCCAAAACTAACACCGTAATCAGTTTCGCCCTACTCTAAAACCTACATTTCGAACCTTTCCTCGCTCGATTCCGTTTGGAAACGAGCGAGATAGTCGTTTCCTCCTTGTTGTCTTCGTCACTCCCACCATAGCCCGGCGCACCCACTTCACTTTGGCCCTCCTATTCTACTCCCTCTCTCCCAAATCCGCCCACAGAATCGGGGTCGCGAGCACCAAAAACCCCGATCTACCACTTTTCTCCGCCCGATTCTATCAAGAATCGAGCGAGGTAAGTGCTTCTCCCCTCCGCCATGTCCATCTTTTCCCCCCTTCAACTTTTGAATGCACCTGGTGCCGCCCGCGTCCAGGTTCATTTCCTTCTCTTCATCATCCCCCGTCGCTCTCCGCCCAGCTCATCGTTGCTCCCGTCACAACGCTCTCCCTGCCTGCAATGCCACCTACCCTGCTCTCCCCTCCGCTTGGCTCTTCGCTGTTTGTTGCTCCGCTTCGCTATCCGCCTCACTGCGCCCGCGGTTGCTAGCCCAGTCCAATCGGACCCGTCCCCCGTCGCACAACCTTTCACCGCGTGGTCCGACAACCCCCACCTCTTAAAGAAACTTCGGCTGTCGACCCGCCCTTGTTTTATACTTGTTACCGGTGCCGCGACCCATGCCAACCTGCCTTGTATCGTTCCAATCTTAACAGATGTCCCGAAGGACTTTACATCGACCAGCGCCTGCCCGACAGCCAGCCGGCCTGAGGGCCCTTCGGGGGGAACCAGATACTAGACGGTTCGATTAGTCTTTGCCCCTATACCTACCGCCTTCACCCGAATATAACGCACTGTCATTTCCGCTGCCTCTGGACTGACGGTTGGGCCAAATACATACAAAGTGACCGGGTGTTCTATTTGGGGTAGGGCGRTAATCCAACAACCGATTGGCACATCGGTATGCCGCGGCCCCTCTCCTTTTCTTTGTCCTAGCCCTGTAAGCATCCGGCGCAGTACTGGGCTAGATTCGTSTGTTTCTCGTGTTGCCACAGCGCTTCACTCGGTCCCTCTCTGCTACCCGTAATGCAGGTCGTCTCCCATAGCGCATTGTTTCTTAGTCGTGCCCTGCCTTAGCGGATGTCTCGAAGGACTCAAGCCTCACGACAGCCTCGAGGTGGCACCCTTGGCCTGACCGCAGCCTGGGCAGACCCAGGCGAWTCAGAGTACCGGGTCCCGTCCATCCGGCMTCGAGCGCGGTCTGTATTTCAACAGTTCATGGGTGTACCTCACTAGGCTAGGCTCTTGGGTGCCTGYCGCACCCACAGCACTACGAAAACAGTTTGTAATTGCACTTCAGATGACATCTTTCACGTGATCCAGCCTTAGTCCCGACATCGCGCCCTAGAGCGGGACGCGAGTAGACAAAAATAAGGAGGGGATATATATATAAAAAAAATAATAAAACCAGAACGGGGAAATTAACGGGCGTCCCTACAGATCGTGCCCATCGATAAAATCAGAGGGGGGAAGCCCCGCCGGGCCCTCAACCCCATTAGTCCCTTCCCCGACGCTCCGCTGCGGTTGCTGCGCCGATGCCTGCTAACCTCGGTCCCCGAACCTCCGTATCGTCAACCCAATGCCGTAACCTATAGGGCTAAGCCCAAGCCTGATACCAGCGCCCGCAGAGTACCATACAAGATGGTTTGGCGCGGCGCTTTGGGCCAACAAACCGGCTACGCGGCTCCCAGTGCCCGCGCCGGCTTGCTTATACCATGCCGTAATTGCCCCTGCAAGTCATCTTGCGACATTCTGCTCACCGCACGAAATCGCACCGTTATTGTCGACGTCGTCGTCGGGGTCGTCCTCTGCACGCGCGCTTGACTCGGTCAAATGTACCAATCAAACGAAAATATCCTTAATTCCTGCTTAATCAAAAATAAATAAATAATAATATCATTAAGCAAAACAACCGAGGTCCGGACCGGCTTTACGATCAACAACAGAAAAAAATCACGCACGCCTTAAACCTGCGCGCCCACGCACTCGCTATTGCGGTCAACCACCTAGTCAAAGCAATTACTTACGCAGCCGCGCTTAGTGTGGTATACTTAGACTCTAGACCAAAACTATTTTCTGTCATTTGCAAAAACCAGGGCGGATACCCTTGTAAGGGTATTTGCACCGACAGCCTTAGCGAACCATATTAAGCGACGTCCCCGTCGCTTCGCCAAATCTGAAAGCTATAAATCCATTCACACTCCAAATGCTGACGAAAGAAGTGAGCCAATCCGATTAGCCGACAGACACAGGGTAGAGTCCTCCATCAAACCATGCCTCCACAACTATATACTGCCAGGTTTGTAACCTGGGCCTCACACCGTCCAGAAATTAGGACACTGGCAGCATAAGTTCCAAAGACCTTCCCAATCGTCCTCTCCCCGGTCCTAGACAACCTTCAGCTTCTCGTTGGGTGTCCCTAGTCCTGGCAAAAACTAGGGATGCGGGCCTTAACCGAGACCTTTGAAGGCATGCTCCCCTTCTTTCTCAAAATCTCTCGCAGTCAAATATATATGTAAACTTAATATCCACTCCGCTCTTTCTGCAGTTTAGTACAGAAAGGTCCGGTCTCCATCTTGGCCCACCATAGCCTGGTTGATCGGACCAGGACTACGGCCCACCGCATTGTTATTTAACGGCAGTACCCTCGTTCGTTACGCAACGATAGGGTTTCTCATGATAGACACTCAATCAGGACCTCCCAAAATCTCAACCTTCACTATCCCACGAAGTAATTTCCCTGGGGCGGGTAACTCCCCTTAAACTCTTACCCCGTGGTCCCGCAACCAGGTTGCGCCGGTTAGCAGTCATCCAATGGGGTTACGCCCTAGAGGTACTAACTTTTTTTCCGTTAGCTTGGCCTTTCTTCAATATGTCTCAGAATTAGCACCAGTGGTTAAATGGGTGCGTCGCAAAACAAAATCACAGGCCCACTGCGCGATACTCAGGGGTCCGAAGGCATTAACCAGCCCTTCTTCAATAGGCATGGCCTCCTTCGCACGCTTACAAGCAAAATCACCGCTAATTCCACCAGGCCGTAACCCTGACTTGATCAGAGCCAGCAGCCACCCACCCTGAGACATCTCTCGCCCTGTACTCATTGCGGCTTTCTCAAACATTTCAAACAAAAAGTGGTCCCTTTCCGTCAGACTTTATCACCCATCGAACAACTCATCATGCCATAAATCAATTTACTCACTTCTGAGGATGAGTCTTTCAACCAAAAACCACTCTCCTTTTCCAACAATCCAAAAGAGGCTCTCTTCATAACCAAAACACCCCCTCTTCCAAAAATCGCGAGAGGTCTCGCTATAAAACATTACATTCCCTCTTCCAGAAATCACGAGGGTCTCATCATAAACAAAACACCCCCTCTCTCAAAACCACGAGGGGTTTCGTTACATCACAAAACATCACAAAACATCCCCTCTTTTCCAAAATCTAAGGGGGTCCCATCATAAAACATAACATCACTTGAGAGACCATCTTATGGGTCCTCATCACAACTTAGATAACTTTCACAGATGGACTGCGCTTCCTCCCCTTATACTCTGCCTTATCAGCTGTCGTGGGCAGGTCCCACAAGTATACCGAGGAGTAGACAGTTTTACTTACAATCATATTCACAATACCCAAGATACACAAAATGTATTTCACACATTGTCCACACAAACTCATCATACATCAGAGTACAACCACACATGTGAGAGAGACAAGTGATCGTCACATATAAGAATGGTCCCTGAAGGAAACCTCATCATAATATACACTCAGGGAGTACAATGTCTCACACAGAAAGTGTCTCCAAATCATAGCTTGCTCAACTCAAGCCACACCAAACCCACACTGACAACTACCCCTAAAATACATGTCAGATTTGTCTCTCAAAGGCCAGGGCGTAGGCCACCTAAATATGTACAGGCCTCATCTAAACCACCCTGACCCTCAAAACCTCAACTCAGTAGAAACACTAGAGTTCAGATCTAGATTAACAGTAATCATCAAAATGTCTTCTAAGTCAAAAACGGGTATCACACAGAGCCTAAGTTGATACCCCACAAAATGCTCGCTCACTTATATAGACAAAACCGAGCCCTACCTCCTCAACTCCTCCTGGTTTTGCCTATATAACTGAGCCCTCAGTCCATATGCGGACTTCTCTATTATCCTACCCTGTCTATCATACATTTTACCCCCTACCTCTAAGATCTTCCCTGCTGCCTTATCCTCAAGAAACTCGAGACAGTCCAAAGCCAGATGCACGTCCCTTTTGCAGTAAAAACATAGTTGATCTACCTTTCTCTTGAACTTCCTCTTCCTGGGTTGAGGAGGTGGCGATGAAGGAGATCCCACCAAGGTACTGACAACCCCCTGCTGCTCTGCTTGAGGAGCTGCGGTACTATCGACCTCCTGCTGCTCTATCACAGGAACCGGTCCACCAGACCCAGATCCAGTAGCCCAAGATCCTAGCCTGCCTCTCAAATCCTCTGTCGCTGGGACGTACTCGTGCATGTCCAACCTCTGAGGCCTCCTCTCGAGTGTTGCCCCTGCCACTGCCGTGGGCTGCTCCTCAATCTCCTCTGGTCCATACTCAGGTGTGCCTATCCTCTGGAGTCTGCCCTCGATGACACCTTCCTCGTCAATCCCCATCTCTCTCTCAAGAGGCTCCTCTATCCTCTGCTCAGGTGAAAACAAACTCACCTCCTCCTGCATATCATGCACCGCCTCAAGGAGCACGCCCATAGATCCCTCTGCTGAGCCCTGAGCCGACTCACTGCTAGATGGTGGCAGCCCCTCCTCTACTGCCAAAGGTACGACCGGGCCTGCCGCCGCCACCGGCAGCGTCGCGAGCTCAGTAGGGGCTCTAAACTCGAACGCCGCTCTCTCTGCCTGTCTCTGGGCTCTCGCCTCCTCTGGCTCCAGGATAACTCTCCTCATAGGCGGCTCCTAGCGAGGCTCTGTCGCAGATGGTTGTCCTGGCAATCCCTGTCCTGGCTGCCTCTGCTCTCCCTGCCGGCTGCTCTCTGGTCTGTCCGCCTTTCCCTGCGTTTGCTACCTCAGGCTCTCAATAATAGCTGCCTGGCTGGCCACCAAAGCCCTAAATTCCTGAATTTCCATCTCCATAGCCTCCAGACGTACTCCATGGCTGGCTTTCTTTATTTTCTTCCCCGTCAGATCGCCCTCCAATAACAAGTGTCGGTCAAAAGTGGTATTGGCCAGGAACTTGATTTTACGATCTAACCTTTCTTCCGCCTTCCTGGCCACCAAAAACCCGGCTCTGACTGACGATGGAAACTCCTCTCCTCTTTGCTCCCAGAAGTCCCTCCATATCTTAGGAATCTCTGGGGCCCTAGTTGGTGCGCTGGGCGGCTGACCCGGGAGTGCTCCTGGTGCCTCCGATCTCTGCCTCTCTTGCTGCTGCTCCGGGAGCTCCCCTGCTGCCTCCAACCTCTGTCTCTCCTGCCATATCTCATCTATCCGCTTGGTTCGTCTTGCCCTCTTTTCTTCAGCCGTCTCTCCAGCTTGCATCCTTTCCTTCGTGCGGAGGTCGACCCTCTTTGGGATTTCTGCTTCCATTTCCTTCTCGGGCTGGCATGACTCCTGGCGTGGCTCTGCAGGTGCTGGCTCCTCCAGGTCTGRGTGCTCCAGGGCATGAGCTGCTAGGTGCCTATCAATCAGGATCAAAGCTTCTCTCCTTACAGCTGCCCTCTCTTCTGGCGAAGGAGCCTTTTCTGACGAAGGTAAAGGGGTCTCCTTTCTCTGCAACCCCTCATTTGTCGGCCGGGTGCTCCCTGGTGCATCTCCGAGTCTCAAACCCACTGCTGGCGTCTGTGGGGGCGTGTCCTCTTCAACCTCTTTCACTTCTTTCCCTGCATGTCTCCCCTCATTGCCCAGCCCTCTCTCTCGCTGAGTACCCCGGACCTCTTCCTGTGGTACCTCCTCTCGTGGCACCTCCTTTGCCCGCTCTCCATGCCCCTCACCCTGAAGCGACGCCCTCCACCGAGAAATATCTAAATGCATCTCCAATTCCCTCAAGGGCCCCTCTAACGCTGGTGGCTCCCCCTGTGTGTGTGCTGGCGACCTCCTCAATCCACCCTCAGTAAAACGATGGAACTCCACTGGCCCCAACCCACACTTAGGGTATGCCCCTCGCTCCTCATCCTCTGGCTCCTGCTCTCTCCTGGCTAGGGTCTTCCGTCCTCCTCGAGATGGTCTCGCCTTCCTGGGCTCAGGGTCCCTCGGCCTCTGACTCCTCTGCCGCCTCTCGACTCTGGGCTGAGGGAGCTCTGGCCGTCGAAAGGCCTCTCTCAAATGTGCCCTGCAGCTTTCCCAATCTCGTGCCATGTCCCTGATCTGCATAGCCAGTGGCCTTTCCGCCTTCCTGGTCCAGAGTGGTAGTGTCTGCATCCAATCATCTCTCTGTATGCCCTGCTCTTGCATGAACCACTCAAACGTGGGGATGAAGTCCGACGCATTTCCAATCTCCAGGCGGATCGGCCTGCCACTAGGTCCCACAGGCGAGGGTCGCAACTCCTCCATCCTTATCTCCACCTCCTGCCTCGTCGTCGCCTCCCTACGAATCCTGGCAATGGGCTCTTCGAACCTATCTGCTCCCCTCAATCTCTCAATCGCCTGAGCGACGGTCCAGCCCATACGCCTCGCATGCTCCCAGAAACTGTCCAGGAATAGCTCGATGTCCCCATCATTGTAGACCGGAGTACTCTCTCGTTGGCGAGGCCCATGCCGCTCATATCCTCCTGATGCGCCCAACGGCCTCTGAGGCGGCCGYGTCCCCTTCCCTCCTCTTGGCATGGCTGTGTTCGTAAAGTCAGACCTGCACAAGAGGCGAGGGAGACAACAGGCACACATTGGGGTAAGCAAGCAGGTGATAATCA